TTTATAAACAATATAAAACCTTGATAGATAATTGTCTTTGAAAATGAATGAATCAACGATTTGGTTCTTGTCATGAGGTATAAGAGTGATTATTTTAATAAGGAACAATACAATTAGTTTTGTTTTTTAATGATGATATCGAATGCACACAGTAGCCCATCTTCGTACTTTTTACTTCTTGAAACCACGCCCATATCTGAGAGTGGTAGTACCAGCTTTATACCTGTGTGATAAGCCTAAGAGTCAAGGTTACAAAACAAAGTAACAAAAAAGCACCAGGTAACTAAATAGAGGGAAAGACATGGTGACCAAAATCTAATGTGAGTTAATTATAAAAATGTATAGTTATTATTCTATAATTTAATATTATTAGCTCTTCTGTTATGTTCGGTTAATGAAAATCGTACCAAGTATTTGATCTAAAGTTCTTTTATCAGAACTTTGAAGGAATAGGGTCAAAACGTTGGATTTATCTTTTAACACCGTTGTTTTACAACGAATAGCTAACAAACCGGTTTCTAGAGACTCGGTGTACACTGCCTGAAATTAAGTAACAATATATGGCAAAATAAAAGTGAAATGATTACTATGAAGTTATGTGAATTAAGCTTACGCTGTCACAGTTGTAAGTATAAAGGTTATAACGCTAAAAAAATCGGGTTTTGATATCAAATGTGAGAAGATCATAGATAGTCAATTCTGTAGCTTTGCGCTTAATAAGCAAACAAAAAAAATTAATTACAAGCTCTCATACAGAAAGAACAAGAAATAAACAATGTAAAAGTGAAAAACATTTACGTATTACTGTAAGATAAAAATATAACAAATGTATTTTTACATAATGATTGCTGCACGGACAAACGAAACTTTGGATGATTCATTGGGACAGTAGACATAAAATATTATGTTTTTTAATCAAGAAGTTACAATTCCAAAAAACTGTCACGAATAATAATGACAAGACACAAGAGCAATCCAACTATTTAAGTAATTAAATAGACAAAATTTTATCAAAATAATAAATGCCCTTATTCTAGTCATTGAAAGGCCAAACTACAACAATTTGCTGTAAAACTTGATGGGTCTGCTCCATTTAGAAATCTTATTGAAAGCTATAATTGAGGAAGAAGCAAAAATCCGCTGTTTTTCTTATTAATATAGCAGTAAACTCAACCATAATCAGGAAAATAGCATAGCGAGTATGTCTGTGGACTTACAACGTTAGAATCCGGGTTTGGAGACATGTGGTGGGCAGAGCACAGATAATCCAACGTGTAGCTTTGTGCTTAATTACAAACAAACAAACACACCAAACACAATCCGCAACTAAACAATCAGTAAGCTTTTAATAGATTATTTGGCTTTCTCCTATAAATAAAATATTTTTACTTTAACAATTAGCCTCCAAGCGGAACGTTGGTAGCTTACGATGCTAAAAAGTTGATTTCGATACCTGTGGTGGGCAGAGTACAGACTCATTGTGAAGTTTTTTACTTAAAAACCAAACCAAAAATTACAGTGAGTCATTTACTTCATCTTAGCAACTCACTACACTGTTCTTTCCAGTTCTAGATACAAAAACCCCATTGGTGTTACGCTGATCATGCATATAACTGTGTACTAGGTTATTCCTGATTCCCGAAATACCACAGCCTGCCTTGATTAAGACAAGTTTAAGTGCCGTCAACCAGGATTTGGTTGCTGTAAGAGTGATAGTTAAATTGTATTTTTATGGCAGAGAAGAGGAGAGTCGATGAAACTGTCTGAGGACAAGGTCAGAGGACCCTTGGTTGACTTAGAAAAGTCGTTTTCTTTTTAAGCGAAGTGTACTCACTATTCCAAAAATTCCAGATCTTCATGGTCTTTCTACCCAACAAGACGGCTGAATCTCAGTCTTGTTTGTCCAGGATTGCTAATAAAGTAATTTATTTATCAACCAAACTAATATTTTATGTAGTTTACGGGCGTATTGCCTTGAACAAAGAACATGGAGTGTATAAGTCAAATGGCAAATTATGGCGAATGTTAAGTACTACTCTGACTCAATGAAAGAGGATTAAAGAATTGTAATGAACCTTTCCTATCTGTTTACAGAAACTCAGAGTAGGAGGAGTCGCTGTCTAAGTGGCCAATACCTCCCACCAGCAGTAGAGATGTCAACTTCCGGGTGTGAGGAGTCGCTGTCTAAGTGACCAATACCTCCCACCAGCAGTAGAGATGTCAACTTCCGAGTGTGAGGAGTCGCTGCCTACGTGACCAATACCTCCCACCAGC